ACTCCCACTCCTGGATACTTATTTGTAAAAGCGTAGACTTTAAATTCCCGCAATTTATCGCTTTCAAATATACCATGGTTAGACCTAGGGTTTGTATGTACATAAAATCAAACGCTAGATAACCTAATACAAAGACAAATGCATGAAATCAATACACCATTCACACTTGCACCTCTAGGGTAATCCCGCTTGTTGCCTTCCAAAATGGGCCATGCTCGCACGTCGAGTTTCTTTGGCAAAACAAAACAAATCAAAATGATCATAGTCCCTCGATGACGCTTTCGAAAGTTGCCTATCAAAATGATCATATTCCCTTCAAGCAAAATTACCAAAGACACTTGGCACCATTGCATTCATGGTCCATACGATGACCCGCGCCTGTCCCATTAAACATCTTAAACGCAAGATTGTCCACCAAATACAATGGTGGAACAAAATTGTTAAAAGGGTTAAAACATGAGAAAAACCTTTGAGTAAATTTAGGGGTAGACAAACTCTTAGTTACTTGACAAACTTGCAAAAACACTTGCCTACTTTTCAAAACCACACTCCACAAACACTTTCAAAACAAGCTTCCAAAAACATTTGAAACATCTTTTCGAAAAGATACACACCTTTGTATATACTCAAACACGAGTCATTACAATGGTTGCCGAGACGAAGGCATCTTCTTCAAAACATTTTCAAAACACACACACACACACCATTTCAAAGCAATTGAAAATCAAAGGCAAGTTTGATCTAAAACCAAGTAACTAAGAGCCCATGGATAACCATGGATGAAAAGGGTGCTAATACCTTCTCTTTTCATAATCTACCCTCTGAACCCACGAAACATCTCAAAAGGTTTTTCCTGTGCTTTTTAACCTTTCCTTTAGGATAAAATAAAAAGTCGGTGGCGACTCTTGCTAAACCGAACAAGTGCGAAAACAAACGCAAAACTCAAGTCAGTTCTCCCACCGTATCACAGTCGCTTATTGTCTACTCTTTTTACGAACTCTCGTGTTAAGTTCACTAGAAGACAAACTAATGAAGTTGCTCATACTCTAGCACGAGTGACTTCATCTTTTGCTGATTTTCATATTTTCAGTATTGTTCCAACATGTATTTAAAATATTGTTATTAATGATATGAATTAAATTTTTTCCACAAAAAAATCATTCTTTTTTCTTTGAAAAGAATAAGATTAGAATTAATAAAAACTATAACAAATATTTTTTGGTCAAAGTCAAAGTATTTAATATTTGAATTTTTTTAAAGACTAAGATCAAATTAAAATAATCATTATATCAAACATAAATGATTTCATTTAGAAATAATTTAATATGTCCAAAAAAAATATACAAATTAAGTAAGTTATTTTTTAAGTTAATTCAATTTATTACAAAATAAAAATTTCTTAATTCATATGTAGAAGAAAAAAAGTAGGTGGGGCGTGTGAAATAATGAGCGAAAGTCGCGTGGCGGTGAGCAGTAATGTTAGAATGTGCCGTGGTGGGGTGAAGTGACGAAAGCTGCTTGAAACAATAAGTAATAAATATAGCTCAAAAACAAAGTACCCATTACCAAGTACTTCTAAAACTTTCACTCATTCTTCAAACACAACACAAGTTTATAGAATAAAATCACACTTTTAGAGGGAACCACAAACTAAAAAACCTCAAAACTATTAACCAAAAAAATGTTTGCTGAAGAAAATGGTCTCAAAGGAGACCCTAGATTGCAACACATCTCTCAATCCATCAGAGTTGTTCCTCACTTCCCAAAAAATGGTTTTTCTCTTTAAATCTCTTCTTCTAGATCTAAACAAAATTATTTTTATGGGTTTGGTTGTGTTTTTTTTGGATTAAATTAATATGAAGTGAAAATTTTTTGCAGGAATAATGTTTCAAGACATAACGACATTGTTGTTAGATCACAAGGCGTTTAAAGATACTGTCGATATTTTTGTCGATCGTTACAGAGACATGCACATTTCAGTTGTTGCTGGTACCATACTACTTTACTCATGCACACACAACACAAACACACACTTTTTTTTTTTTAAATATTTATAAAAATAAAAAAGTTTTGGTTTTTATATTTTGTTTTGTGGTAATGTAATTGAGTTTGATTTTTGTAGGAATTGAAGCACGAGGTTTTGTGTTTGGTTCCTCTGTTGCGTTAGGTATTGGTGCAAAGTTTGTTCCTTTACGCAAACCTAGGAAGCTGCCGGGTATTTTTTTTGTTTGTTTTTTATGTTGTTGAGTGTTGTTTTAGTTGAAGTTGCTTCTAAACTTGAATCACTAAGCATCATGGAATATCTTGTGATAATGATGTTGGAATTGGTCCAAGATTTTGTTTGAGTTCATTTTGAAGAAAGTTAGGTTTAGTTGACTTGTGTTGAAATGTGATGCTCTTTACTGCTAGAAATTTTCTGTGGTTATTTTCTTTTGATAAACACTTTTGGGATAAAGGGTGTCACATTCATAACATCTAAGAAAAAAAAGTATGAAATGCTATGTAAATTTGAGTTATAGTAAAAGCTAACTTGTCAACATATTAGTACTATTTGGTACATCAAGATTTTCAATTTGAGTTATGGCTGCATCAGATTCTGAAAACTTGGTAAAAAATGTCTACTTCAATAGTTCGATTTGTACCGAATGATTACTGTATGAATCATCATTCCAAAGGTCTACTTCAATATGATTGTGATTTTACAATAGTTTATCTTGAGGTGCATATTCTAAAGTGAAGTAGATTTTTTTTACATGAGAATAAGCTGAAAGTTTTCGCACTGTATTTAGTTTTTTCTTGCGTGCCAATGATTTTTGACAGTGATTTTTATCAATTTGAACGACTAGTCACAATGCTCATAACGCAATCTTTAGAGTCACATTATGCCTGAACTTTGATGTTCTTTGTTTTTTAGGTGAGGTAATTTATGAAAAATATTCTCTAGAATATGGAACTGATTGTCTGGAAATGCATGTTGGGGCTGTCCAAACCGGTGAACGCGCTATAGTTATCGATGATTTGGTCGCAACTGGTGGAACTTTGTCAGCAGGAATAAGACTTTTAGGTGTGAATTTTACTGTTTTTGTCGATATTCTTTCCCATGATTCATTATTTGACTTAGAATTGTTCAATGTATCTGGTTTTGGTCACACTAATGTGCTTTGTGGTTTTTTTCCACTTATTCTGTAGAGCGTGCTGGTGCTGAAGTAGTGGAATGTGCTTGTGTTATTGGTGTGCCTGAGGTTAAGGTAATGACTGAACTTTTTATACAAAAGATAAAGAAAACTTTAAACTTCTAGATTGATTTGTTTGTTCATGTCAATTCTTATTTGAAATGATGATGGAAACGAAATGCAATGAAGCCTAATTTTTTCAGGGACGGTGCAAACTTCTTGGAAAGCCACTTTATGTCCTTGTGGAGCCACGTCAAGTAGATCAATGTTTTTGAGGTACACTACTATTTCCTTAAATAGTACATTTTTGTTTCTTTGGTGTGACTCTTTTCATTTTGCTTCTTGATCTCAAAGTAGATTTCAAAACAGCTTTTTTTATAGTGGTTTTTGACTCCTAGCACCTTTTATGCTAGTGCTTCAAAGACATTGCCAAAAACAAAGAACCAAATAAAGACACGTTTCTAGGTTTTGATTCTTTCTTAAAGACACGTTTCTAGGTTTTGATTCTTTCTTTTGATCTATAGGAGGGACCAAACCAATGGAAAAACCTAAACATCATATGATCTAACTTGTTTGTTACACGGTATTTTTACCATTTTTATGGTAGCATATCCTTTCTAAATGTTTTGTTTATTCATGCAGATGTGATTGAAATACAAAAGTGATCAAATCTTTTTGCCTGTGGAGTGGTGTGTCCTGCAAAATATCATCCTGGAAATTGTCCTCTTTGTATCTTGATCTTGTACATGTTAGGATATCATGTATGGTTAACAAGTTCGAACAAACATCAAGAGATTGATTTTTCTGGCATTTAATTAATAACATCAATTTAACGTCTCATTTAGCTATCCATGTTTCTAATATTTCAGTATGGTTAACGAGTTTGAATAAACATCAAGTGATTGATTTTTAAGAAATTATATTTTATTTGTTGAACTTGTTATAGAAAGTAAGATATGATTTTTAAATTCAAATCTTAATTATATTATAAATAGAATTAATTTGATTTTATGTCAAATAGTCTATTATACTAAGTAGTAAGGAATAAATACAATATATTCAGAACATTAAAATCAAGCCTGCTTCCTAAAACAGACAGCATTTGAATCACCAAGCAACACAGTCCTTCATCAATAATATAATTGAATTAGTGTGTATAGTCTAAAGCAATTTTGAAACAGTCTTTTCATCAATTAACTATTATAATTGAATTACTGTTAATAACTGTAACTTCAATTGTCATGTATTGAGCTTTTTAGTACTGATATGCGCACCTCACAAATGTTTTGTTTTCACAACACTTGCAAATGTTCATATCATTCAAAAAGGTTATTTGATTTGGTTATACCAGCAAGTAAAATAGTATGAACAATTAACATAAATAATTTTCAAAGTTCCAAGACAAGTGTGAAGTTCATTGAAGTGAGGTGAATGAAGGGCATGACCAGGGTTGGCCACAAACCCACCCTTAACCTGCTTTGCATTGGGGCAAAGATAATATAGCAAAGAACACTTCTACTATAGTCTTTCCAGAATCAATTATGCAATGTGTTTTCAGTCAACAAGAACATAGAAGGGGAAGAGGAGAGCAAACATGATTTTATCTTTGATGAGATCCAACTTTTCTTTATTGTATGTTTAAGTTCACACAAAAAAGGTGCAATGCAAAGGTTTGTATACATGTGTGCAATTAAAACTCGTACAGGGATAAATACACTGGGGAGCGACTGTATTCAATATACGATTAACCCATCTCCCGGGATGGGAAACGATGGGATCTAAGTCAAAAGTGGAAGAACAATATATAATACCACTTCCCATATATTTCTAACTATTTGTTACATTTTCAATTGAAGGAGAATCAACACTTGTTGTCATTTCCAATTTGAGAGCATGCCTTGTAATCTGATTTGTTTGTTTTCTCAATCTAACATTATCAACGAACAAATCTGCTATGATCTTTCTCATTTCATCACCACAGATTACACCATCTTGTACGTCATTGGTTTTATCTACATTAAAAGCTGCATTTCTGTAGTCCTTCTCTAAGTTTTCTACCTGATCAAATTTAAATAAATTCTGTAACTAAAGACAGATTTGCAAGAGAGAAATTATTACATTAAAATGAGCAGAGTACTAAACAAGATAACTTGTACCTCTGCTAGTAGGATGTCGATTCGGCCATCAGATGTCTTTAATAGATTAAAAGCATCAGTTGATGTTGATGAATGCAAGACTGACCTATCCTCATCATTGTAAGGAAGATCGACATTGCACTCTTGAAGCTGCTTAAAAAGAAGGCCACATTTCTCAAGCAATTCTCTAGAAGCTGTTTCGGCTTCTTCCCTCTTCTCTCTTTCACGAAGTAGTAGTTTCTGAATACACGAGAAACACAAGCATAGCATCAACATAAAAGTCATGCATTCTGGGTTTATAACTTGATTGGAGTTCACAAATCAAACAGCCAATATTCCTGTACGATAGTGAGGAAGTAATTTCCATTTTGAATATTTAAAATTTAAGCTTCCAAGACTACGTCCTGCTGGTTACATTTTATATAACTTAACAAAGAGATAAAGGCAGAGTACAGAAAAGTTCTGAAAAGTAAGAGGGAAAAACCATAATATTAACATATTAAAAATCAGAAAGGAAGGTCAAGGGCAATTGCCGAAATCGAGAACCCAAAATTTAGGGTTCCAAGACGATGTCCTGCTGGTTACAGTCTATTTTCTGTATTAACTGCCAAGAGGAAGATCATGTGAATACTATGTAGCACCGACACTTCTGAAAAATGAGGTGTCCGTGTCGGACACCGACACTTGCATCGAAACTTGTGATTACTTTTTATTAATTTTTTAAAATTATTATCGGTGTCGCTGTGTCTTGTTGGTGTTGTGTTTGGAGTGTTCGTGCTTCATACTGAAACATAACATATGTGCATAACCTACCTCCGCTTCCAGTTTCTCTTTTATGGTTCCTTCTTCAATTCTGTTTGGGAGTTTCTCTTTTATGGTTCCTTCTTCAATTCTGTTTGGGAACTACGGAGAGATTTGACTTCTTTAACCAGAACTTTAATATCTGGTTACAGTCTATTTTCTGTATTAACTGCCAAGAGGAAGATCATGTGAATACTATGTAGCACCGACACCTCTGAAAAATGAGGTGTTTGTGTCGGACACTGATGCTTACATCAAAATTTGTGATTACCTTTTATTAATTTTTTCAAATTATTATCGATATCGCTGTGTCTTGTTGGTGTTGTGTTTGGGGTGTTTGTGCTTCATACTGAAACATATATGCATAACCTACCTCCGCTTCCAGTTTCTCCTTTATGGACTCACTAAGTTCCTTCTTCAATTCTGTTTGGGAACTACGGAGAGATTTGACTTCTTTAACCAGAACTTTAATACCCGGTTACAGTCTAAGTCTATTTTCTGTATTAACTGCCAAGAGGAAGATGATGTGAATACTATGTAGCACTGACACTTCTGAAAAATGAGGTGTTCGTGTCGGACACCGACACTTCTGAAAAATGAGGTGTTCGTGTCGGACACCTGACACTTCTGAAAAATGAGGTGTTCGTGTCGGACACCGACGCTTACAACGAAATTTGTGATTATCTTTTATTAATTTTTTAAAATTATTATTGGTGTCGTGGTGTCTTGTTGGCATTGTGTTTGGGGTATTCGTGCTTCATACAGAAACATATATGCATAACCTACCTCCACTTCCAGTTTCTCCTTTATGGACTCACTAAGTTACTTCTTCAATTTTGTTTAGGATCTACGGATAGATTTGACTTCTTTAACCAGAACTTTAATATCTAGTTACAGCCTATTTTCTGTATTAACTGCCAAGAGGAAGATCATGTGAATACTTTGTAGCACCGACAACTCTGAAAAATGAGGTATTTGTGTCGGACACCGACTCTTACATCGAAATTTGTGATTAGCTTTTATTAATTTTTTCAAATTATTATCGATGTCGATGTGTCTTGTTGGTGTTGTGTTTGGGGTATTTGTACTTCACACTGAAACATATATGCATAACCTCCGCATCCAGTTTCTCCTTTATGGACTCACTAAGTTACTTCTTCAATTCTGTTTGGGAACTACGGATAGATTTGACTTCTTTAACCAGAACTTTAATATCTGATTACAGTCTATTTTCTGTATTAACTGCCAAGAGGAAGATCATGTGAATACTATGTAGCACCGACACCTCTGAAAAATGAGGTGTTCGTGTCAGACACTGACGCTTACATTAAAACTTGTGATTATCTTTTATTAATTTTTTCAAATTATTATCGGTGTCGCTGTGTCTTGTTGGTGTTGTGTTTGGGGTGTTCGTGCTTCATACTGAAACATATATGCATAACCTACCTCCGCTTCCAGTTTCTCCTTTATGGACTCACTAAGTTACTTCTTCAATTCTGTTTGAGAACTACGGATAGATTTGACTTCTTTAACCAGAACTTTAATATCTGGTTACAGTCTATTTTCTGTATTAACTGCCAAGAGGAAGATCATGTGAATACTATGTAGCACCAACACCTCTGAAAAATGAGATGTTTGTGTCGGACACCAACGCTTACATCAAAACTTGTGATTACCTTTTATTAATTTTTTCAAATTATTATTGATGTTGCTGTGTCTTGTTGGTGTTGTGTTTGGAGTATTCGTGCTTCATACTGAAACATATATGCATAACCTACCTCCGCTTCCAGTTTCTCCTTTATAGCCTCACTAAGTTCCTTCTTCAATTCTGTTTGGGAACTACGGAGAGATTTGACTTCTTTAACCAGAACTTTAATATCTGCTTTGGATTTTGCTTCTAGCTCTACATACTGTTTTGACAAAATTTCAAGCTGCTCTCTAGCAGCATCTAAATCCTGCAACAGCACATCGTTCTGATGGACAATTGATTTTGTCAAATTCTGACCAGCATTTCCATCCTGGTATGACAGATGAGCAATTTTTGAAATGAACAATTAGTCTCTAAAAAAGAAAGTTCAAAAAATGTCGAGCAAATATAAGAATGCCATACTGATTCAGACTTAAGTTTCATCTCCATTTCCATTGACTTTCGTCTAAGTTCCTCCATATCCCACTGCATTTGGGTGAATCTTTCTCTTTCGATCAGAATAGCCTGCTGCAAGTTCTCCTTATTTTTCTGTTTGGTAGTTTCAAGTTCAACTTCCACATCCTTGACCTGAACAGATCCACTCACTTATGAACACATAGTATATATATAAAAGTCGAAGCTTGTATGCATATTGTGGAAGTGGAACATAAGGAAACCGGGTTTCCATAGATTATAGACATATTTATTCGAGTACTGTCTGGCCAATTTCCGGTAAAAGAAAGCTAAAAATAAATTAATTTACAATGAAATACATGTCTAATCACATATGGTATACCTTTGTTGTAAGAAAATCCTTTGCAGCTATTTCTTGATTTAATCTAACTATAAGGTCCTCCATATCAGATTTCGCTGTGACTAGTCTTCTCTGCATGGTTGAAAGAATCCTGTTCAGTTTACTGCGTTGATCTAGCGGAAGGACTAATTGAGCATCGCCGGTACACTTCAACTTGTGGCCCGTAATATCCGTTTCTCTTGAAACTGAGGCACATCCAGGAAGGTCGACAGATCCATCACCAGACGAATTTGGAATCCCAAAATTAGACATGTCACTACCTCGTACTGAGCTTCCATCACTTCCAACACTCTCATTTGAAAGCTTACGAATGTGACCAAAAACTTTAGCATGTCCAGGCTCAGAGAAACGTTCCATGGTATTATTAGCTAGAAGTGAAGAATCATACGAATTACCATTACTTCTGTCCTTCCCTGTAACATTGTTCATATGTCTGGCATTTACTTTATGCCTAGGAAGTCCTTCTAATTGCTCTAGAATAGTCTGACCCAAAAACAAACCCTCATCAATATTTGAGATGCCATATTTTACAAGCCTTTCTATTGGATTCGTCATATCTTCATCTAAGGTCAGATCATCTGTCCCAACTTCAGAGTTATCATCCCGCCCAATTCTCGGAGTTCCTACTTCAGATGCATCATATGGAGTATCGCTACCATAATCTGACGCAACAGATGAACTTCCAGCAGCTAATGATAAGTTCAAATGGAGAGATGATTGCAATGAATAATCTCTGTTATTAGAATCAGGATCTGTTACTGAATTCTGCTGGCTTGCATCTTGAAATGCTGACATGTGATTACATGAGGTAAACATTATAAAAAGCTCAAGAAAGATTACAATCAATCAGCAAGGACAAATCAACAAAATCACATACAAGATCTAGCAGCAGTTTCTAGCTCAAGAAATGATGCCACGGGAGCACATCTTGAGATATCAATGTCAGACAACAGTTTGGTGATCCACTCCTCCAAAGAGCGCCTTCTCTGTGGCAGAAGTAAATGTGTTATAATCTAAAACCGCCTATTCAACTCCTGTATTGACATTAGTGTACACGTGGCACAGTCTGATTGTGATAAATAAAAAATTCAAGGGTCCAACTATATTAGGTGGAGCCATTATTAGCCATGTTGTACAAAATAATATATATTGCATTTGCATGTATCTTAAAACACACAAACAACCTAGTTTAAGATTCAGTTAGACGATCTTACCTAAGAATATTAAGAACTTTGTTATTCATCTACATTTTTAATGAGCCCAAAACTCTAAGTGTAATTAGTATCATTATCCAATTTGGGTATTTATTATAAGTAACCAAATAAATAAAAAAGGCTGTATAGATATAAAATAATGTTAGAAAGTTTCTTATTTATTTAATTTGAAAATTATGGTGACATAGGCTGAGTTCTACAAAAACATGGTGGATCTTGTGGTTAGGTCAAAGAGGACATTTAGAAAGACAGAAAGTTAATGACAGGCTTCAGTGAAAAATTTAACATGCTCTGGGATGAATTATTGTGTGCATAAATACAAAGAGAATTTCTTTCCACACCTAGTGCACTTCTTCAGGCACTTCTTCAGGACCTCTGGCGAAATTTCCAAAATACTCCCAAAATTCAGAAGTGCATCTCCGAACGAACCAAATTTCAGTTCTTTAAAGGTGTTTTAGAATATGCATATCCAAAATAACCCAATATTCCATTTTTAGGGGATTTTCGGATGCGCATATCCGAAATAACCCAATTTCAGATTTTTAAAGGTGTTTTCGGATATGCATATCCAAAAATAACCCAATATTTCGTCTTTGAGAGTTTTCGGATATACATATCCGAAGTATTCCAACAATTAGAATCAATGTGTATCAATTCTAACAATTAGAATCAAGGTGTATCAATTATATTAATTATATTACCTTGTAAATTATTTACATAAGTTTGATATATTTTTAGTGTGTTAGAAATGGAAAAATATTATGTATTTACATAAAAATATTTATTTAATATAATAAATTTTCTAATTAAACATAATAATTAATTATCAAATTTATAATAATAATTAAAAATTTTCATCTAAATTAAATTTAACTTTTAAAATTACAATTAAAAAATATTTTTTATCAAAAATCATTCATAATTTTAAATAAATAATTAAAAGACAATTATATTTCACCATTATAATTAAAAATTTAATTATCATATTCATTGTTTAACTTCATATCATAAATTTATTTTAATATTTAATTTTAAATTATAAATTTAAGTTATTTTCTATTAATAATAACCCAATTTAATTATATTATAATTATATTATAAATAAATATCTTTTCAAAATAAATTTGAGATATTGGGTGACTTCGGATAAGCATATCCGAAGTCATCCAATTTAAATTTTTTAGGGGTTATTTCGGATATGCATATCCGAAGCCATCTAATACTCCAAATTTACAAAGTGCGTTCGGAAGTGCATATCCAAAGAATATTTTTGGTGAAAATTATTGGAAGGAGATTATTAGGAGCATTGATGCATAGGGTAGGAACAAACACTTTTTGAGAGAGACACACCACTTCTCCACCTAAAAACCTTAAGGTGAGTGGGTTCTCCCACTTATATATGCTTAAGTCTCCACATTCCTATCCAATGTGGAACTATTTCCTCACTTACTCACACTTGCTATATTATTCCAACACTCCCCCTCAAGTGTGATACCGCACCACTTCTTGGGCGAATTTCAAGACTCTGATACCATGTTGGGGGGAGATTATTAGGAGCATTGATGCATAGTGTAGGAACAAGCACTTTTTGAGAGAGACACACCACTTCTCCACCTAAAATCTTAAAGTCTCCACACTTATATATGCTTAAGTCTCCACATTCCTATCCAATGTGGGGACTATTTCCCCACTTATTCACACTTGCTATATTATTCCAACAAAAATCACCACTACTAAGTGTAAAGAGAAATTCTCAAATACAAAAGCACAAAAAATATTTTTATGTTTATTACTAATGTTTCAATCAGTCATACAGTTTGCAATTTGCTTCGGTATTTATTTGGTTAAAAATTAATTATATATGTGGAATATAAACAATTGATATTAATAAAAAATATATTTCACTTAGTTCATGGCTGATACCCACACGAAAAAGTGGCTACCCTGGAGGGAGATACGCACATAGTACATTTGATGAAAATCATTAAGAGATCAGAACTTCACTTAGCTTGAAATATAAAGTCCTCTATAAATACATTTTGCAGTGCTAAGTTCGGTAATACAGCTCACGAAGAAGCTTTGAGTGCTAGGGCCCGGAATTTATCACTTTATTAAAGTGAAAAACAAATCTCTGGATCTGTTTAGAAGTTCAAATTTATTAAGGATTGTAGGTACGCCATTTTCTGGGAATTCTTCGTGAAATTCATCGTACCAATTTGTAAAAGTACTCTATGGGGACTTATGTGACTATGGTTTCAATCATTTTGTTAAATAGTAAATATGATTCCATCTTGACCGGACAGATCTTAACTGATATTTGGATTGTAAGCGCGATGTTTAACAAAAATCTAAGACAGATGTATGAGGTTAGAAAATAACTTATATAAATTTCTACATGCTAGTCATTTTCGGTTGAGATGCCTTTAGACCAAGTATGTTTGTATAGACTAATTAAATTAAAGCAAGACAACATATGCAGATCCATAATCCCAAACATGCAACAATTGGTACTTTAACAAGTTTAAAAAATTTCTAACCTCTTCCAATAAAGCTCGACTTTTCAATCGCAAGAGTCCCTTGGGTGGCGCTGGAGGGATATTTTTCCCGGGGAACTCCTTTTTAAGCTACATAGCCAATATGTGGCCAAATAGTCAACAAATCAGTATAATCAAAACAAGCAGACATATCATACGTATGCTATTTATCTACCTCTATCATACATGACGATCGTGCATGTAGATCATACGGTATGCTTGTTAAACCCTTTATAAATAAAGCATTGATTCTATTCTCATTAATGACTAATGTTGTTTTCTCCTCGGAACTAATACACATTTGAAAGAAATTATATTTTCCCGCAGAAGACTCTCTCTTACCCATATTTAGCATTGCTTCAAAAAATCCCGGTTTACCTCCTGTTGTTGTGCACATGTATTATGAGGCCGTTCTAATCATTGATCACAAGGCATACTATTTCCAAAGCTCCATATTCTTGTCTATTTTCCACCTCAAAAGTTAATTTGGGGTTTTTTTAGATCTGGTTTAGTTCGAAATCTAAAACTTTGATATCAGTTCTCTAAAGATTTCCTGTTTTGAAACTTTTAAACTACATTGATACTGTTTTTGGCCAGAACATACTACTAATGAACAATGATACTAATTATTCTTTGAATTCTCAAGACAATTCCTAAGTAAGAAAGTGAGCCATATGCAGATTTGTTAAACTGGGTTTAATCATTTAAAAGACAGTAAAAGTGCTTAGTTTACTAAAATGGTATAAGGGTGATTTATCCTTCATAATTTTAAAGGCAGTAGAAATGGATATGAGAAAGAGTATTGGATGACTTAAAGTATATGTTGTTCATTGAATTTTTTTCTATCTTTTATTACTGTTAAGTTTACAATAAAATGAAATGGTTTTGTGGAGGAATATAAACTAATGGTTAAAAAACACTAAAATGGTTTTCAACCAATATACATCTGTGGGTGCGCGCGTGCGCCCATGTGAGGATCTAATGCTTCAGTTGTAGTCCGAATCAAGGCTAAAGTAGAAGTAATACGTGAAAAACAAAACAGAGAATCAAGGCTAAAGTAGAAGTAATACGTGAAAAACAAAACAGAAAATCAAAACGCAGTTGAAAATGATGAACTTACATCAACATACAACTTTATAAAATCATTGAACCTTCTTAGTACTCCATGGATATTCGTAATCCCTTCTGGTGATTGTATACCAACTTGAAGCCTGTAGAACTGTCCCTTAATGATGTTAAAATGAAAACTAACAAAGAAGCTTCTATTCCACAACATACCATAAATGAATGGATTGTGGAAAACTATTAAAGATTAATGCCTAAGCCACCTATGTTTATCTTTTCTATAAAACAGATTTTTCTAACTCAGACATGTATACTGGTTTGACTTTGCAATCACATTTATAACTCAAACACTCAGTCAGTTATACCCGTGACTATCAAACTCTACATAATAGCATTTGGTCCCATTATTTGACATATAACACTAAATACTACTCTATACACCAATAAAAGAAAGAAACAACTATTGGGAGCAGAGTGTCTGGAATAGAGTATAAAGCAGTGACAGGTGTAGCACAAGATGGATTTTTTCTTTGTATTTTCAAAAATAGATTTTATAAAACTGTTCTTCAAAATATTACAAGTTTTTTTATATTTGTTTTTTCTAAATTGAAAGACTAAATTTGACATTCTATAACATATACATACATTATTGAAGAGCAAAACATAGTCGAAATCGCAATTTTTTCAAAAAGTTGTATTTCAAAAATGATTTTTATGAAAAGTTATTTGAAATAGCTTCAAAATGAAGTGATTTTTTGAAATTTGGATATTCAAAAAATGATGGAATATCTAAAATAATATTTTAAGAATAACTATTCAAACCAAATTTTCATTTGAAGTTATATGAAAAGTTTCTTTGTAAATACAAAATTATGTTCAAACCAACTTTACCACTATAGGATCTGAATTCCTTGATTTTGGCACGAAGACCCAAGAAGGTATTACGACGCAATAGCTCCAACCGGTACGATGATTGTGTGGCCATTCCGTTTCACGTCCATTCTGTATAATAGAAAAGGGGGATAAGTTAGCTTAGAATACGAGAAAGTACAACATTTTTTCAAATAACATGTTTATAAAGGCAATGAAGATTGAAGATTATTATATACAAAATTTAAAGGAGGAAAAAAGGAATTCAAGAATGTTTTCAAACAACTGCCCGTGTTGTCATTGAGAGACAAAGAACTAGCAGACATCAAGAGGTACTCCCTCCGGTCACTATTATAAGTAAATATTCTCTTTTTAAGTTTATTAAATAGTTGATGTATCTAGTCTCTATGTAAACCAGATAGATCAACTATTTAATGAACTTAAAAAGAGATTTTTTGCTTATAATAGTGACCGGAGGGAGTAACTAATAAGGGGCCCCAACAATCCCCTTTAAAGAAAATGCCTGTGAGAAGCCCAACAATCCCCTTTAAAGAAAATGCCTGTGAGAAGCCTTAGAATCTATGCTTAGTTTTCGCCGTGCACCTCTAACTATCCACACAAAGAATAATGTCAAAAGCTTTCAACAAACTTCCATATTTGAAAGTACTTCATAACTTTAACCATATGCTAGCATACTACTTATAACATTATCAAATGGCTTTTTCTAAAATATTTGATTCAACCTTCCCTTTCCACTGATTAAAAACTACCAAACAAGAGTTTGGGTAACTTTCAACTTCCCTTCCCTCTCTCTCTCTCTCTCTCATTGCCAATCATCAAACACATAGCATAAGATAAATGATTTCCATTTTAGAAACATTTATATAAAAAGAAATACTCAAATGTCATCGCGATTTAACTTGTTTAAAGTCAACCTCTTTCCAATGCAACTGAGGAATGGTGCATGTTTGGTTTCCAGTTGAAAAAACTGAATTTCCATTTGAACCGACAGTCCTAACATGCCCAGTACAGAATGACTACAAATTACATATACAGAGAAACAGTCCAACTGATGAATATAGCTAGCATAAAGCAAATCAGCACTCAAAAAACTGTAACAAAATAGACAAGTCCACTAATCAACTTCTTCAGGAACAAGATGGCCTCCAAGTAATCAAAAAGCAACAGATCTCAGTCCCCTTGCAATTACACTCACAGCCATATACAAAATCAAATTCACAACAACACAGTTCACCACAATCACTCGCATCAATCAATTCATAATTACATGAGAACATCAAGAAACTAACCCATTTTCGAGGAGCAGGACTCCAATCCATGCCAAGAGGCAGCGGCGAAGTCCCATCGTGTCTATGCTTGGGAGGACTTCGTCTCTGCATCTTCTTCTTCTTCTTCGTTACAATCTCTACCTTTCTAAGATTCGAAGATCATAACGTGATTATCAATTACCGAATCTCAGAATTCACGAGTGGAATTGCGATTTGAAGTGAAAGTGACGGCACCGCAAAAACTAGGGTTTCTCCGAACGGATCGATCAAGGTGGAATCTATGCCGGCGTGTGCACAGTGGAGGGCGCACGCTAAGAGTAGAAGCGGTAACGTGGCTAAGAAAAGCCGTTAGTCTAATGCGTGTTTCGTGTGCGTTCACACGTGTCTTCTCCAATGGAAACCAGAGAATTAACTCGTGTCGAGCACTTAAAACTGGTGCGTTTTGCTTTTTGGAGCTCAAATTAACCAAAAACAGCAATAGCACCTAACTTTCTTCTTCACAAATTCACACGGAATCAATAGATAAAATAAAATGAGAATTTCTTTCTACATTTAATAGTCTTTTTTTCAGATCTCTCACGAAAAAATTCAAAATATTCATTGAATTTAGATATGTATATTTGAACAAACATTCAACACGATTTATTTAATTTATTTCAGATATGTATATCTCAATTCACATGTTAGCCTATTTCGGATATACATATGCGAATTTATTTCTAGACAGAAGAATCAACATTATTCAATATAATTCATAACTTTCATTCAACATAATTCAAAAAAATTACATAAATAGTTATGTAAAAAATTAAAGTTACATAATATTATAAACGGGCAATTGAGGACGTCGCAACATTTTGATAACATCTTCTGCCGATCTTTGAAGCTTCGCATCCATCTCAATCGGATCCTTAGAAAAGTAACGTTGAAAGGTACTCCACATAACCTCTAAATCATCGTCGTTCTTGAGCTCAAACGAGGTGAACTTTATGTTTCCTTCAGTGTCAAGTGAAAGTGAACGATACTCAAGTTTGACCACATTTCGATTCTTTAGATATTGCAAGAGAGAATACAGTATGGTAATGAGCTTGGCGAACGACGTGTCATGCGAGAACCTGAATTGAAGTGGCGATTGCGCACCACTGAAGTAGACAAAAGCAAGGTGTGGATATGTTTGAGTCATTTTTGGTTGTGGTTTGTGATGGAGAATGAAATGGTTTGGAGACTCAATTTATAGCCTTTTTGGAGCAACAACGATAATTCTAAAATAAATTTCTTCTCTACCGTCTTAAGCTGGCATACAATTGGATGCCCGTGTAGTTTGGTGTCCAACGCGTGATTATGCATATCAGACATGAAAATATACCGCCATAAACCATCCATCCTACAATAACCGCACAATTTAAACGGACACTCACATTTCTTCAATCTCGTGTCATCATGTTTTATCTTTCGAAGTTTTAGAACATATTTTCCACTTCTCTCGCATGTCATCACAACAAATGGTTTGTCTTTGACTAGTCTCATTGTCGGACCTTTCAATCACAATGCTAAATCCAAGTTTGCTAGCTTCTATTCGAACTCATTCAAGCATATGTTGACGAGAGATAAAACTTTTATCATTTTGAAATTGTTGTCCATAATCTATCACAACATCATTCGTTTTATCAATGTCTTTCACCTTATTGGGCTTAGCATCTTCATTGACCTTGTCCGATTTACGACAACTTTGACAATATTATCGGGATGCATCATACCTAACATGTTCAAAAAAACATGAATTCTATTTTGGAATAGACATGTTTTCGGATATGCACATCCAAATTATGGTAGTTTGAATTCGGAAGTGCATATCTGAAGCGACGATGTTTTCTTCTTCAACAAATCAGCTTCAATGCAGGAAATATATGATAAAATAATGGAAGTTTACCTCAAATTACATCTTTCTATGCTCTCTTTCCTATACTCAAAACACTTAAAACTTAATTCGAAGACGAAAATTCCATTAAGAATAATTGAAGTTTTATTGAGGTTTTTGGTTATGGGGGAAAAGAAAATGAATGAAATAGTTGGAATAGGTGACCATGCAGCATTCTAATATAGAAAGAATGGTTTCAGATATGCACATCAGAATTCACCTATCAGCATATTTTGGATGTGCATATCCGAAACTACCTCAAGAATTTAAAATCCAACATTTAAGTATTAAAATTTGGAAAAAAAAATGTGTCTTCATATATGCACATCTGAAACATACTGATATGTGCGTTCGAATGTGCATATCCGAAGGATATTTTTGGGTTTTCAGTGGTGATTTTCACCACTACTAGGTGTAAAGAGAAATTCTCAAACAAAAGTTTCATCATTTAAACACCACTTATATTATATCTCACACCTTTTATTTTTTTATTCTCAAAATGTCTCTATTATTATTTATCTATAAAAAATTTGTATTGGTCAAAAAAATTTACTATTGATCAAGAGGGTGAAAAACTAAATTTCTGATAGGTTAACAAAATTTCCAGTACAAAAATTGCACTTTTACTGAACTTTTTTTGCATTTCCAAAATTTTCGATAGCCATTCACCGAAAATTTCAACATTTCTGAAGCAATTTACTAGAAATTTCAAATTTTCCAGGGCGACTTACAGGAAAGTTGTAACATTTTCCAAAAAAAAAATAGAATTTCCGGTACGAAGCATAAAATTAGAAATTTCTAATTCAGAAATTTAGAAGCCTCAAATTTTTTGTATATCTATAGATGAAATTATGTATATGTATGGTCCAGAGCTAGCGGCTTCTTCTACGAATTCATGTATAAATTATACGTAGTTTTTCACCATATATACCGTATGTTTCCTATTGAATTAATACTGTTTTATTTGTTTTTTAACATTTATGAAATTGATAAAGTTTAATAATTATATGTTGTAATTAATAGATTTTTAATTTCTGATCAGAAGTTTTAGAATGGGCACTGCCAATTGGTAAAAAGCATGGTATTATTGTTGTTACAGTTCGTTCTGATTATGCTAATAGAATGCGAGAGAGGAAGGATAAATTAATTATGAGTTGTGAGAGAGAAGGAAATTACAAAAGAAAAAAATACATATGAAAACACTAATTCCTCTGATGGCACTTACCAGAAATTTCAAAATTTCTGAAACATTGTTAGTACTCCCCGAAAATTTAAAATTTCTGGTATCTCCCACCAGCACGGTAAAAAACAGTAAATCTAGTGAAATATTATGTTGAAATTTCTGGTATGCAACCGTAAGTTTTAAAATTTCAGGTATATTATGGAGGCATTAACGTAAATGTGCCAAAATAGGGTGCCAAATTTAACTGTGGAGGTGTCAAGTTAAATCGTCCAAAAGTTCACAACACTCCTTTGGAGGAAAAAAGGGATTGGGCTTGGGTCAGTTGCTTTTGATACTTAATTGGGGTTATTATCTGCACCTTACATTTAACTAATTGCAAATGAAAACATAATGACCTTTCATTTGTGTCTGAGAGATAATGCTAAAATCAGTCATATAAGCTATTCTAGTCTACTTCCTCTCATTTTTTAAAGCTCCGTCATGCATCATTTCAAAACTTGAATCTATAACAAGTTCTTTTGGGGTGGCATAGAGGATTAAAGGAAAATAAACTGGGTAAAATGCGATAGGATTGCGAGCCTATAGATGATGGGGGTTGAGAATAAAAAACTTGATGATTTTTAATGACGCCATTTTGAATAAATGTGGGTGGAAAACTAGGTACGAGAGGAGTGACTTGTGGTATATAGCGTTTAACTTGTATATATGGTGAGAATGACAATTTTTTGAATTTAAATAATGGAAATGTTTCGTCTTGGTGGAAATGTATCCTTAACTTGGATTTATTTTCTATAGACTATGCTAAACAATATCTGGTTAAAGAAAGTTTCAAGGTAATGATGTTGAAAAATATGACATAGATTAACGCTTGTTGGTTAAAGGTTTGACATAAAACGACATCTTTAAAAATGTCTTTCCTAGTGTATAAAATGTTTCATAAGACATTGCAAACTAAAGATAACTTAGTTAGGAGAGGCACCATCAACCTTAACTCACATATTTGTGTTTGTGGGTGTGTTATAGGCCAAGCAATAACTCACCTTTTTTAGTGCATGATGGTATATGGTATATTGTTTGAAAATGACTTGATATATCCGCAGTATTTCAAAGAGAATGCATGTATTTGTTGTAACACCCTTCTAAAACTCCAAGGATAATTAACGAATGAATTAATAAATAAGTAAAGGAAAAGCACCAATGAGGGTGTCACATCCTCATAAAAACTTCTTATACAAATTTCTTGCTCCATATTACGGGTTTTCAAAAATTATAATAATTATTTCTTCCACAATATCAAGATATAAATTTAGACTTCATAGCAGAATCTTAGTCTCAATCATAACTTCACTTATTTTCCTCAAAAATACCAAGACCTTTTGGTATTATCCAAGGTTAACATCAAAATAAATTCAACAAATAACAAAACTCGTGGTATGCATTTTTAAACAAACAACAAACTTCAAAACTCAAGTGTTTCTAAACCCCGATGTTACATATCAGAGCAAGACTCTTTTTATTCAACGGAAAACACATTAAATAACTCCAAATCTATCCTCACGCTTCTACGAGTTATTCACGATCACATGTGTGTTACCCACTTGGAGGCAACATTCAAACAAAAAAGGCGAGTAATCACAAATCATTACAAAAGATATACGAAATAGATTGAGTAGTTACAACCACAATCATCAAGAAATCCATATATCGATATACATCACATTTAGACTCACACTTTCACATCATTAATTCATTCACAACATCATTATATCCTCAATTCAACAATCATCATTAAAGCGTCACTTAAGTATCAACATCATCAAGACATCATTTAATCAATAATCATATAACAACAAAAAGTATTAAATGCAACAACATTGACTCATGCATGTGGTACCAAACTTCACTGATGAACACTGGGTCATCACTATCCAAAGATCCCCACCATAGGATTGATTGTCTCTTGGAACCAGAGCACATCATAATAACACACTCAATTCACACAATGGGATT